CATTCTGTCACTTCAACTTCATATTGTTTCAGACAACGGAACAATGCTCTGCTCCAGACTGAGGGACTGACCACCTCAAAACTTTAAGGGTGATGGACTGATTACATCGTCTTCAAGTATCTTCTGCTTCTATCAACTTTTCTGTACTCGACTGATGAAGCCTACTGTGTAGGCGAAACGTTTCGAAATAAAGATACCTAACTGTTGCATATGTGTCTTACCTAACAATCTGTCGGTATTTTATACCATTTTAATGTTCATGTTCAAGGTATATTCCTATAAGAAAAAAAAGAAGTAAACTGGGGAGAGATGCTCCCTCTACAGGAGAAGATGAAGAATCATTGATCTCCTCAAGAATGCCAGATTATCTGATACACAGAAGGAAGTGCTCACCAGGGAAGTGGAAAATATTGAGCTATATTTAAAGGACTCATACAGGATCCAGGAGAGACAAGAGGAGCTAAAGGCGATTAGTGAAATTGAAACAAATTCGAAATATTTCTTTTCATATGCCAAAAACAAGTCAAAAACCACTTCTAGTATAGGGCCCCTGCTCAGACAAGACGGATCCTACACAGACGACAACAAAGAAATGAGTGAGATACTGAAATCTCAATATGACTCAGTGTTCAGCGAGCCACTAACCAGTTTAAAGATAGACAATCCAAACAATTTTTTTCATAAATGAGCCTCAAAACCCTCCCAATGTAGGTCAAATTTATGACACAAACCTAACTCCACTAGACTTTGAGAAAGCCATCGACGACATGCCCATGCACTCAGCCCCAGGCCCAGACTCGTGGAACTCGGTGTTCATTAAGAACTGCAAGAAACCCCTCTCACGGGCCCTAAGTATGCTATGGAGAAGGAGCTTAGACAGAGGCGAGATTCCACAGTCACTAAAAACAACAGATGTAACCCCACTCCATAAAGGTGGCAGCAAAGCAGTAGCTAAGAACTGTAGACCAATAGCTTTAACGTCCCACATCATAAAAATCTTTGAAAAAGTTCTAAGAAGCAGGATAGAAAACCACCTGGACTCCCAAAAATTGCACAACCCATGGCACCATGGTTTCAGAGCAGGTCGCTCCTGCCTTTCGTAACTGCTTGACCACTATGGTATGGTCCTAGATGCACTGGAAAACAAACAGAATGCAGATGTAGTATACACAGATTTTGCAAAAGCCATTGACAAGTGCGACCATGGTGTAACAGCACACAAAATGCGTGATAAAGGGATAACTGGCAAAGTAGGCAGATGGATCTTCAACTTTCTAACCAATCGCGCACACAGAGTAGTGGTAAACAGAGTTAAATCAGATGCTGCCATAGTGAAGAGCTTTGTCCCACAAGGCACAGTACTCGCACTTATCCTGTTCCTTATTCTCATATCAGACATAGACAGAGATGTAAACCATAGCACTGTATCATCCTTTGCAGACGATACTAGGATCTGCATGAGAGTGTCATCTATTGAGGACACGGCAAAGCTCCAAGAAGATATAAACCAAGTTTTCCATTGGGCAACAGAGAACAATATGATGTTCAGTGAAGACAAATTCCAACTACTCCGTTATGGAAAACTGGGGTAAATAATAACTAGGACTGAGTATACTACAAACTCCAATCACACAATAGAGCGGAAAAGTAATGTGGAGGACCTGGGTGTGGTAATGTCCCAAGACCTCACCTTCAAGGATCACAACAATGCCACTACCACATCTGCGAGGAAACTAATAGGATGGATAATGAGAACATTCAAGACAAGAGATGCTAAGCCAGTGATGATCCTTTTAAATCACTTATTTTCTCTATGCTGGAATACTGCTGTACATCCCCATTCAAGGCAGGTGAAATTGCAGAACTAGAGAATCTACAGAGAACCTTTACTGCACGTATAAGTTCCATTAAACACCTTAACTACTGGGAACGCCTGGAAGCACTTGGCTTGTACTCACTGGAGCGCAGGCGAGAGTGATATAACAATTTACACCTGGAAGATTCTGGAGGGACTGGCCCCTAATATGCACACAGCAATCACTCTATACGAAAGCAAAAGACTTGGCAGGTGATGCAACATACCCCCAGTGAAAAGTAGGGGCGTCACTGGTACACTAAGAGAAAACGCAATAAGTGTCCGGGGCCCAAGACTGTTCAACAGCCTCCCAACAGCAATAAGGGGCATTACGGGAAGACCCCTGGTTGTCTTCAAGAGGGAGCTGGACAGATACCTAAAGACGGTGCCGGATCAGCCGGGCTGTGGTTCGTACGTTGGATTGCGTGCGGCCAGCAGTAACAGCCTCGTTGATCAGGGCCTGATCCACCGGGAGGCCTAGTCGTGGACCGGGCCGCCGGGGCGTTGATCCCCTGAATACCATCTAGGTAGACTCCAGGTAATATTTAATACAAGAATGTACAATATTTACAGTATGTACAACTAACTTAGCAGGTACCGTGCTTGTGAGTAATGTAACAAGTGTGCAAGAATGAAAACGCCCAGTTTGAGATAATCATCCTGCAGCTGGAGAGAGACTGACCTCCATACCTAGGTGTAGGAAAAAAGTAAATTATTCTGGAGTTCAACCCCTCACCCTCATTGGTTGTCGTTTATAACCGGTATAGACATGGAGCACTTACGCCAATAAGAGTAGGCTATCGGACTTCTCTGTGATTTTGGAAGAAATGCAGACTGTATGGTAGTGTAGTGCGCACCAAATAGAAGCGACATATTCGGTGCACGCTACAATTCTCTTGTTAAATGATATGTACCCCTAACAGCAATAACTCCCCTTGATGGTCTAGAATATGTACGTAGTGTAAATACACCGAAAGGTGTGAATCTCTCAGTGCATATACACCGAGGTGTGTACATGCACTGAGAAGTTCTCTCATTACACATTTACCTCACGGTGAATGTGTAATGAGATTTTTTTATAAGTGTATAAACACCGAGAAATGTGTAGTGTCGTGTCCGTGACTTGTGGTGGACAGGCAACCTGCGACCATACTGAAACTCGTGTAGTCAATATTCTTTAAACCCAATAACCCAATCAAATAATTTTGAGTAATGATCAGGAGAGATAATATTTAATTGTCATACACATTATAATTGCAATACAGTACAAGGAGGAAGGACAACGAAAGGGTAACACACACGATGGGAAGAACGAGGCTAACACACATGATGGGAAGAACGAGGCTAACACACATGATGGGAAGAACGAGGCTAGCACACATGATGGGAAGAACGAGGCTAACACACATGATGGGAAGAACGAGGCTAGCACACATGATGGGAAGAACGAGGCTAACACACAGTGTGGAAGAACATCGGGTATTTAGCGTGGAACGAGCGCGTCATCAGAAATATAACTCATAATGAGGACAACGAAGGTTCAACACAAGTGAGAACAGCAAAGGATTAAGACAATTAAAAGGATAACACAAATAAAGGAGGGAATAACACAAATAACTTAGCTAATGAAGACTAAATACTCAAAAGGAAGAATACTAAAGGACTAGTTGATAAATGACAACTAGTCCTCTGGTGTCTTTATTCTGGAAACGTTTCGCCACCCAGCGACTTCTTCAGTCTAATGCAGAGAATGGCGGATGATGAGGAATCGATTACCTCAACCTCCTCTTCATCTTCCACCTTTCTCTGCAATGGACTGAAGAAAATGGGTGGCGAAATGCTTTCGGAATAAACATACCCAAAGGTTGCACAAATGTTTCATTTATCAACTTGACGGTTTTCTAAACCGGCTTATTCACGCCAGAGGACTAGCACACAACACTGAAGTACAACGTATATATAGCACACACAAGGGGATGGACAACGTATATATAGCACACACACACGGGAATAGACAACGTATGTATAGCGCACACACAAGGGGATGGACAACGGAGTTTCCATAATTATATAATCCCTTTGATCTTAAATGATTAACACATGTCACACTGAGAAGGCCACCTATGTCAATAGAGATTCAACGCGCTCATCTGATAAATGGCCACCAAATTTACCTTGTAACGATGGCAGCAGTGTCAAAGTCCAACAGGAGGATCAGAATCTACTGAACTGCGAGATTTCAGTACCGACATGGAAAGAGAAAGAAGAGTAATCGACTTTGTGTTTTTCGACTCTCCGACCGATGGCCCCTAGTTATCTTCAAGAGGAAAGAGGATAGATTCCTAAAGTCAGTCCCTGACCAGCCGGGCTGTGTGTACGGCCAGCAGTAACAGCTTCGTTACTGGCCCTGATCCACCAGGAGGCCTGGTCATGGCCCAGACCGTGGTGACGTTGACCCTCTAAACACACTTCAGGTAGATAAAATTTTCCTGCGAATGTGGGTACTGACTTCTCACTGTCAAGTTCTCATTACTCCTTTATGCATCAACACAGTAGACAGCAAATAATTACAGCCACAGCGTCATTTCGACTTCATATAACGACGTGATTCAGGCAGAAACAACATTCATAACCGACATTCCGTGAAATTTCAAAACGTAGTTTATAGTTTCCAACTAATACACAACATTCACAGCAATAGTTCAAAAGCACACGAGTAATAAATTTATACAATGAACGCGTGACAACAGTAACAACAATGTCTCAGCATCACTTAACGAGAGAACGGTGACGTTGATTCAACGTCCTATATCGGATGGATTTTAACTTCGTAATAGGAATGAAAACTTGGGTTTAATGAACAAAAAAAATCACACAAAGATTCATCACATAACAAATGAATATACACAAGTGATAAGGTTTCACAATGGTCATTAATATATATATATATATAATATATATTATAAAATATATATATATAATATATAATATAATAACACATGTATATATACCTGTAACAAGATAACACCGTGGTTCACTGTACTGTTCACCAACTAACACTAGTGTCCAATATATACTAGTTTTATGCTAACTCAATGGTATATATTACACAAGTAGACAGGAAACACTATGGTTAAATATACACCAGAAGGTGGCACCGGGACATTCTACACAAGGGGTAACGTCCACAGGTTGACTGACTACCTGTCTGCAGGGGAGTTCTCGGTAGGAAGACCCACAAAATCTCTAGTCACCGCATGCTTAAAACCTACACATTCTCACTTATACATGCACCCACTCTCACATATTTCTTTATTTCATTTTTCAGTTTTATTTCTCAGTTTCATTTCTCTTTCTACCTCTCTCCTCCCCTCTCCCTCTCCCCCCTCCCCCTTCCCCCTTCCCCATTTTTATACAATGCTTCACAGGGTTAGGTTCAGGGTTTCTATATACTATATATATCTTTCTTTCTTTCAACACACCGGCCGTATCCCACCGAGGCGGGGTGGCCCAAAAGGAAAAACAAAAGTTTCTCCTTTTACATTTAGTAATATATACAGGAAAAGAGATTACTAGCCCCTTGCTCCCGGCGTTTTAGTCGCCTCTTACAACACGCATGGCTTACGGAGGAAGAATTCTGTTCCACTTCCCCATGGAGATAAGAGGAAATAAACAAGAATAAGAACTAGAAAGAAAATAGAAGAAAACCCAGAGGGGGGTGTATATATGTCCTTGTACATGTATGTGTAGTGTGACCTAAGTGTAAGTAGAAGTAGCAAGACGTACCTGTAATCTTGCATATTTATGAGACAGACAAAAGACACCAGCAATCCTACCATCATGTAAAACAATTACAGGCTTTCGTTTTACACTCACTTGGCAGGACGGTAGTACCTCCCTGGGTGGTTGCTGTCTACCAACCTACTACCTAAGATATATATATATCATTGCCTTTTCTAGATGTTTTAATTATTAAGGGTAATAATGAATTCAAATTTAAAATTTACAGAAAACGTACAAATAACTGTTCCTATGTCCACTATTATTCCTCGCATCAAGATAGAGTCAAACTGTCTGTTTTCTCATCAATGTTTTTGAGAGCTTTACGAATTTGTAGTCCTGAGTTCATAGATGAGGAAATATCCAAAATTTATGAAATAGGTAATGATTTAAAATACCCAAGAAATGTAATTGATAAATCTTTTAAAGTTGCTAGAAACACTTTTTATAATCCAAAAAGGGGCAACCAGCCTTATTCAACTAAAAATATGTTGGTTCTCCCTTACCATGAAAACTTGGTTGATATGCCTTCTCTTCTTAAGACTTTTAATATTAAAGTTGTATTCAAAAATCTGATACAGTAAAAAACTTTGAAAAGAATTTTCCCCCCAAAAAGCTGATGGA